TCGCAATTGTAATAATACAAAATAGAACAGTGTTCGATAAATAAATAGTAATCGCGATAATTACATTATTTCTTATTTTGTTATTGTCAAGGGCCATTTGTATTAATTTGTGATTTTTGTTTATTATGAAAACAACCAATACGTGAGTCTATGATAAGCCATAATGGGATTCAGTCATTATGCAGCATTATGAGTATTTTACACGCATTGTATATGTCACATGGGACTCACATCGAACAAGCGCGTCGGCTCCTTACGCACATACACATTTCCACACGACAACTTACCTATATTTGTGTTGCCGCCCACTATTGTCGCCGTGGGAAATTGGGCCATCGATGCCAACATTTGTTTCATTGTCGTTGGTCGTATCCATGTGTGGTTATCTCCCCTGAAGACCACAGTTTTCGAGTGAAACTCTTTGTTCGTCTTGATAAGAAACATTTTAGAGTTATGTACAACATTGGCGAACAATGATTTACAGTAAGTCTGCATTCGGTGTAATATTTTAGCATATACCTGACGCCAGTCTCGATATCTTATCAAGTTAATTTGCATGGAAACCACTTTTTTCTCATGATTTCCGGAAATTCGATTGGATGGCGGTTAGAGTCACTCCAAACACATAAAAAATAACGTGATCGCAGTTTATATAATTGTAAGATTGAGCATGCGCAAAAAGTCAACTTTTTGTTAGAATCAATTAGTGAACAGTTCAACATTACTATAACATATATTCAGTATATAGTTGCCTGGGTCGTCCGATATAATTTGCATACTAAGCTGATTTAACAGTAGCACTATAGTGCTAACTTGTTGATATGCAAATTGCTGGCGGTAGAGAGTCGCGTAATTTTGAATACGTGACAGGACAGTGTAACAAACACTTTAATGTAAACAAATGTTACAATTTAATGCATTATTATCTCGGTTTGAACGAATCCCAGAGAAACACTTTATAAAGTATTATTACTAACCAGTAATGCGGGTGGAAAAATAGGTTCTTGAGTTTCCACCATCGATGTTCTTGACTCGTAATTGTCCCCAGCCGATTTGCCGTTTGGAACTACGTTTTCTGTTACACAATTTTCCGAAGGTATGCCACGGCAACAACCGTTTGTTTTGGCACCTCCACAACAACCGTTCTCCTGAAGGGAAAAGTAAAACATTTTGATCTTTCTTACGGGTGAGTGTTCACTGTCGACGTCTATACATAGTTATCTGCTGTTAGTATGAGAAGTGTTACACAGTACATTTACTGACCTTGCTGAACTCGTAGCATCCTTCCAAGACAGATCTGTATCCCGTACACCGACAGATTATTCCCTCTAAAGCTGAGTTGATTTCTTCTTTCGTTGGGTTCGGCTTGTTGCGCAATAGCGTATACATGGTCATCACTACGCCCGGTGTACAGAAACCACACTGTGTGCCATGATTTCTTAAAATACTCTCCTATTTATACCAAGAAACACAGAAACAAATACGACATTAATACTATTTCAAACTTTAACCTCAAATATTGCCGTCGCGCTTTAATTAAAGCGCAGTGTTAGATTTCCTAAAAAACGTGTTTCGAGACGACTGAAGGCGGACATTGTAAAACAAGATTGTCACATTAAGTTTGTAAATAACACAATTCATTGAATCCGACACTCGTATTGACCTGCTCTCCGAACATCCTAAGAAAATGACATATACCTATAGTAAATTATTACAATCACTGACTGAATGGGATGCAGCCTTTTCTGAATGTTGGTGACCCCCTCTATTGTGGTGACAGCCATACCATGAAGAGAGCACAGTGGAACAAGGCACGAATAAACACACACATGCCTTGACAGAAGAAAAGGTTATAGCATAACAAACATTACTGTATACTAATAAATGGATCCAATATTGAACAGCTGATGAACACGAAGTGGTGTGACGATTGACGCTTTAAACAATAGTTCATTGCGGACGTTTTACTGATTTGCTTATGAAAACACCGTGTGTTCCCAAATCACATGAAAACATGGACAGGCGAAATTAAAGTTGCCTACTTACAGTCAAGATATCTTTGATAGACGTTCGCCTGGTACATACGAGTTAAGAATGTCGTCAAAATATTAAAAAAGTGAAGAAAACAAAATAAAAGTTTATGTTTATGTACTTACTGTATAGTACCAGATTGTCTTTCGAAGTAGGATATCATAACCGTACACACCCCGCAGCCACCTTGGTTGCACGATGACTTGGTACCAGTCATCAATACTACATTTATTATTAAAGAAATTCACACTTACAATATGACTGTGCGAGGTTCCAAGAGTAACATTGAATATGCATTGGAAATTATGTGTTTTACAAATAATTTATAATTGAGGGCGGTATGCTCGTGTGATGGCAGCATCATACATGTACATGTATAAAGGATACAGTTTTCTCGAAGGTGAGAAAGTAGCGTCATTTCCGGTTGTACATGTCTCTGTGTCATCTAATAAGTAACAATACACATTTCGAAACGATACATATCAACACATGGTGACATTTGTCATATTATATTTATACTGATACAAACAGCATATTTACGCTTTGGAACGTACACTGACACCTTGCAACGGATATATTTTGATATGTAGATTAATGAAAAGGCATTTCTAAACAGAGAACTTGGCTAAGTGCCATGGTTTGGTATTTTTGTAGTGAATACAAGTTTTTCTACAACTATTGGCATCGGAAGTCAGTGAACCGTCGTGTAACATGAATGACAAGGCACTGAACAGAGCCTTGTGTTATGCAAACGAATACTGCTTTGTTGGCGTCAATAAGGTGCATTTATTTCTTATTTTCTTCTGTTTATCGTGGTTAATAATCGCAACTCGTAGACGTGGCGTCTCTGTCTCTCGTGCAATTACTTATTTTTTATTACAATTGCGGTTGTGCAAATGTAGATGTCGACGGGGACCAGCACTGACTAGTTTACAGATTGTGTTACGCTGTATTTAGGACAACTCCTCGACTGTGTGTTATCAATCTGCATATGAAAATTATGTATGTCACTAATTTTCATGTGAAAGCAATTTACTGATCTGC